TTTCCAAGGAGTCAGCAGTAGTAAAGTAAAGTAAGTAAGAGCTACTACTGTAATGAGAGTAGTAGCAGTAGTAGTAACACGCACGGAATGCGGAACGCCAACCACGCAATATGAATTACAGGACCCGAATCGATAATCAGCTATCACGGACTGGATAGCAGAAGCAATGTCACACGAGAACGAGATGCGATGAAAAGGCTAGAGGACAGGCAGTAAGTAGTTCATTTATTGGAAGAAATAAAGGTGATTAAATAATATGTACAAAGAGATATTATTGGCTACCTGGGCTTCAACCAATTGGATTGTAGCACTGCTTGCATAATCTTGCTTCTGTCTGCATTGTCTAGGATTGGCTGGCACCATCCACCAATGACATGTATTCAGAAGATATGCACGTGCTATTGACGTCAACATTTAAACTTGATTGATCGCCAATGTCCTGAAACTGTAACACGCCGCTCCAGGGTAGGCGCCGTCGTGTAGGCCTGGATCACCACAACTACTTACACTATATTGTCATAGAATGTTTGCTGCACGCATGAAAACAATACATCCCGGCGAAGAAAAATGGATTCACTGTGGTAGCAGTAGAAGCGGCTAGCAAACTGTTGAACCGATTTGTTACTGAATCGGCGTCTTTGAATGAAAGGTTTCATATTTCGACACGGAGATTGCGAACTATTAACAATAGGATGGATTTGCAAACCCACTACTACATACAGACATTTTATGTGTCACATGAAGAAAGAAATGCAAAGATTATTGACTTTTTTACAAATCAGTGATCAAAGTACCTTTCTGGATCGAACAGCTCTGTGGGTGGACACCAATCAAACTGACTGAATCGATTTGCGAAATCTACAAACGGGAAAAATGTGAGAAGGTATATGAAAAATCGGAAGTAACAAAAATAATCAGTGATATCATCTTCCAATTCGCGTGGTCTGTTACATGAAATTAAGTACACCCGGCTCAGTAATATCTTCCTCCCGTTAATACGTTATGCAAATGTTGTGATTCTACTGTAGTAGTTGTAGTAATTGTAGTACACATTGATCACGAAATACAAATCACGGATAAGAAATCACAAAATAGCAATCAAGGACGCCAAGTAAGCACTAGATCAGACTGGTGCTTGCACGCAGGATCCCACATAACTGAGACGCGAGGAAAGGGCCACAGGAATTGTACTTCGTTTATTGGAAGAAATGAGGTCGATTAAATAATATGTACAAAAGAAGATCATTATCCAGGCTTCCAGAAATCGCATTCCACTGTTGATTCCATCATTCTGCTTCAGTCTAGACTGCAATGTCTCGGATCGATTGGCACGATCTGCCTATTGTGTGTAGTCAGTAGCAGTGACAGGTACGCGCGTCATTGACGTCACCTTTGAAATTTGATTGATCGTAGGTGTCCAAAAACTGTGACGCGCCGCTCCAGGGTAGAGGTCATCTGGTAGGCCTGGATAATCACACAATCGCATGCCAGTATTTTTGACGTTGTTGGGCCTTTGTCTAAGCCGCACGGATTCTGATTTTTTGGTACAATCGACCTATGGTTTGTAGTCTAGACGCTGTGACAAGTACGCGCTTTGCTAACGTTACTCGGGGTGTGCCACTGACAACAGTTTTCCCAAAAACTGTAACATGTCGCTCCATGATATGCGTCATCTCGTAGGCTAGGATCACCACACCCAGACTACAGGATAACGTCAGCCACGGAGCGACGTGTTACAGTTTCTGGATAACGAACCACAGGCCAATCGTGCCGACCAATCAGAAGTCGTGCGGTCCAGACAGACGGCAAGGCTAGAAGCAGGCTATTGATGGAGACCTGTATAACCATTGATTTTTCTCAATAAACCAACCACCAACCAATCTTTTTCCTGCTTCTCGGCGACGGGAGATTTCAGCCTATGATGGCCAGGACCTCTATGTACTTCAGTTGCGATCCGTATTCCGTACATACTTCGCTTACAACAGCAAACTGTATTCCAATTAGATTCCAATATTATTCAGCGTTTCGGTGTTTTATATCTTTGGGCATAACAGGCTCAGATACGTAGGTGTTTAGTGCACAATTTCCGCAAAATGATTTGGATTTAAGCCATATCGTTTTCAGATTTCAAAAATTTGGCTTTCCTGGTACGAATGATCTCGCACAGTTTGGAGTTAATAGATACACTGATATACTGTTGCATGCGGGTGTTGTCGTAATTGTCGTCGATGGTGCTCTGACTACTGACTACTTTCAGTGGTGGTGGTGGTGGCGCTGGGATTCTCCCACATCCTCTGAGGTGGTAATTGGGGAAGTTGCCTCCTGGGCACCTCCGGGCCCATATACTTTTCAAATGATTCAATCAGATAAACGATAGAATGAATAAATAAATAATCAAAGTTCAATAATGGATGCTAATATTTTAAACTGATCCAGTGCCTCATTTAGACGTTNGGGTGTGTTTCAGCCGGAACAACAAGGAACCCGTGGTTATCTGTCGTCGATTCTTTTGAAGTATCAAATTTAGGGAACGTTCAATGAGAGGATCGTTCGAGGAGAACGGGGGATACGAATGGTTGATTTGGTTACAATAATCGATATGTAAACTCATATCTCCTCGAGTTTGGCAATCTTTGGAATACTGAATCCGTACTAAATGCGGTCGTTGAGGCATTTATAGTTGTAACAGATGATTATGGATTGTTTACGTTAAAAAACCTGAGTGAAAATGAAACAAGTTGCGCAGGAATAAAACAAAACGCAATTTGTCGTTAAAAACACGTATGGGGTTACTAAAACCTCCTGGTGGTCTAATGTGTGTCAAGTTTCTCAAAACAGGTCAAACGCTACTTTGCATCGTTCTAGATAAATTATTTTTGCGGAACGCGGTTCATTTTAGTGCTCATCCGAACTCGCATGTGGTACTGTCCGCGAACACAATCGCGTTGCCCGGCACCAAGGTCTTCGGAATCGAATTTTACCAATCTGTAACCATCATCATGTGCTTTTCATGATTGCAGCTCCACACCGGTGCGCACAACAGCTGCACGTATCATGACCAAATGTATTTGTGTAGTTGACCCACTTGCAAGACCACTCACGTGACACGTCCGTCTTACCAACTGCGTCACGTGCTATACGTTCGTCTACCTGTCTGTTTGTCAGTATGTCTGTCTAATCTATCTGTCCGTCGTGAGGTATATGGGTATACCGTGCAAATCACCGATACTGAAAATAACAGATGATTGGCGACATTCCCAGAAGGTCACTCATATCAGGTGTACAAAACACGGGGCCAACCAACGGTGATAAACACAAATTTATCTAAAACAAATATGAAGATAGTTAAAGTTAGTATTCTTCGGTAAACGTAGTGGACGCGAATTAAGAAAATGGAATTGCAATCGAATTGTGGAATTGCACTGATGGTCGTCTGCTGATCTCTGCTGCGGCTGTGATGCAGGAAGAAATTCACAGAATTAGCAGTTCGTGTATTGCAATAAATCGATACGATTGGAAACAGAAGAATGCCATTGACTGAAGCAGCATTGAGCAATCGTAGTTCATGCTGTTCTAGGCACATGAATCGTGTTTAAACCGTGTGGATTGGGATCGCTCGGTTGTAAACTGTATCGCGTCGCTCCCTTCTCGGGGTCGTTACGGTGCGCTGGATTAACAGACAATCATTTCACTGTGTCCCACTAAGCAATGCTGAATGCAAGACCCTGCCAGCATACCTTTGTGATCCAAATCTTTGGAGGAGGTTGGAAATGGATTCCTTGAACTAGGTGTCTACAACGAATGTGGACAGATTACCAACGGAAGAAAGACATTTCTGTCGACAGAATATGCAGTTCGGAGAGGGAGAGGAATATGACTTCACCACATTCTAAAACGTAGGATGATGAATTTCCTGAAGATAACTTTGATGCGCATCACAATGCGGTGCTGTGAAGACGAGGTCAGGAACAAGGAATACTCCACCAGTCAAGTGCCCTCCTTCCCATTTTTTTTCGAGGTCGGGCGAGGCCCACCTACACTTCGCTTCAAGAAATGCATATCTTATGCTGGGGGGTCCTACTCCCTGTGGTGTCTGATTTCTCGGATAGATGTGAATGAAAAGTGAATATATGGTCCGGTAGACAGGCCGATGGGCCACAGACGGCTAATACATCGCTGGGAGCGGAAAGTTTCTGATTACATCCAGGGCAAAAACTGACCTCAAGACATCCTGGTAGCGATCATCTTCAGTTGAATTGGGAAATAGGATGTAGTGAAAAAACTGCACTTGTGGAGGTGCCTCAAGGACGGAAAATACAACTGGTTGAGATCCAATCTCTAAAAAGACAGCGATTTCCACTTTGGAAGTCAAACTTTTGCGAGCTAAGATCACAAGCTATGTGTTCTTGAAGAATGCATGATCCTTTCTAAACCACTTGTTCAAAATTCATGGAACGAACCCACAGTGGTTTATAACAAACTATAACAAAATTATAACAAATTTCAGAACCCAAAATTAGTGATTTGTTGGTCCTGTGACAGTTCATTGTTAAATATGTCTACCGTGTCCTGGCTCAATGACTCAGATTCACATTGGAACATTGTGCTGTTTACCATTAGATATCTTTTGAGCTGACTGTGTGGATCCCAGCCTGCAAGATGACGCATATCCTGGAGCGTTACAGTTTTAGGACAACTGTGATCAATCAGGCTTCACGGGTAACGTCAGCCAAGCGCGTGCGTGTCACAGCTTCTGGACTAAACATTATAGGTCGATTGTATCACCCAATGAGAACCCGTGCGGCCCAGACAGAAGTTGAACAACGGCAGAAATACCAGAACGTGATTGGCGGGGGCCTGGATAACCGATGAACTTGTGTTGTACATATTATATAATCCCCTTTATTCCTTTCAATAAACGAACTACTACTCCTGAGGCCTTTTCCTCGTGTCTTGGTTACGTGGAATATTGTGTGCAAATACCTAAGTGGTCTAGAGGGTATGTGATGTTCGTGATTGCCAAACAGTGATTCGTGTTTCGTATTCATTGTGTGCTACTACTACTACTAACATTACTACAATTACTACACCGGTTTTGCGGTGTCAATCGCGTTTTTTTCCCATCGGATCTTTCATTCTGTGACGTGGAGTAGCAATGTGATGCCACGCAGAATAAAAACTGACGGAAAAATCCGATTGAATGTGAGAACACGAGTGACACGGATGCCTGAATAATCATTTGGGTGTCTATTCGGGTGAAATTCGGAATAATCATTCACTTACATGCCTCCTGTCTGCTTGAGAATTTTCAAGGGACGATTTCTATGAAATCGGGAGTCAATACGGGTGCTTGAGCAGACATAATTGTCCGCAATTTATTCTTCTGATGTAAACAGAGGTTGAAACATTTCAATGCCCAACTCGAGTTCCACTCCGAAAGGAAAGATATCCCCGGCTGACAGACGTGTAGCAGCAGTCTGATTAATGGATGACAGAATCCATGTTTTATCGAGTAGCCGAGATTCGGGAATAAGCAAACAAGCAAATAAATACTAAAGAAATGCCCCAAACGTTTGGTTTCACTTCATAAGCTAAAGCAGCTTCTCAAATATTTTGTTTTGATAATGCTTTGGAGCCGGTAAGAGAGAGGGAGAAACTTACAACTACAGTTATACTTCACTTACAAAAACCGTAACGTAGCGAAGAGAACGAAAAAAGTTGAACGGGACAGACCAATCAGAAACACTTACCACAGAACGAGACAATCTCATTCAGAATGGGGACCGATCGAGTTCGACGCAAACCGGAAATTTGACCCGATTGTATACGACAAATCCGGTGATTTGCCATCTCGGCAGCTTGTAGCATTGCGGACACACCGGAAAATACACCCACACTGTTCCGTTGTCGATACTGTACAACACCCGGTACACATAGGTGACTATTTGGTGTCAAGTGCCAGCATTTATGAAGGCTTGGATGATTGTACTGTGTTATCCACGGTTCCGGCGAGTATCTATATTGGGAATTGAATGATCTTCCATAGTCCGATTGTTGGGGAGGAAGAGAAGTTTCGTCAGATGGATGCGGTACGCCGGAATTGGAGCTGTCATAATGATTGTCGAGTTTAGAGTTCGAAGAGTGCCGAAATTCCGAACCCATGATACATGAGTTTGCAATAAAAGGACCCGTATGATCAGACATCGATTTGGGAATAACTAGCGGTGAAAAATGTCCTTGCATTGCAATGGGTTTGGAGTCGAATGGATTACTGGTAACGGAAGTCGAAGTTGAACCAGATGTCGTAGTGTAGTGATTTGGGATACTTCGTGCGTTCCGATAATGTGTGCTGGAGTTGGAAGATAATCTGAGAAGTCCTGCTTCATGGTTCACGGACGATGGGTTCGTTCCCGATTGGGTATGACTGAGACAGGATTTTATTGAACTGGAATGGAACAGACCATCACTTTCGCACAATGCGTTTGACATCGGGGTGTTTGAGCCACTGAACTGCGTTCGATTCCAACTTCGTTGGGTGTTCAAATGGAGTGGAGCTAAGCGAGATGAGGATGGAGTAGGTGAGTGCACGGTGGAGGAGTTCTGACGCCTTCGACGTTCAGCGGCCTCGATTTCTGCCTCGCGAGCAGTGGCCACAGTCACAGCCAGGGCAAGTCGTTCGGCTTCTTGTGTAAGTAGTGGGGTCATATTATGGGTCCCATTTGAAGCCGAACAACAAGAAGAAGGTGAGGTTGCTCTATGCACTCCCCGATTTGGTTCTGATTTAAGCATTCGCCTTGGTATCATAGAATCTCCGAAACCTGCAGACGTAAAAAAATATGGTCACGGTTATTGTAAAAGATTTGTGAATCCTTTATTACCCATACTTCAACATTTATCCATTTTTGCGTTACACCATATCCCAACTCGCTGCGCTCTTTACGAGACCTTAAATTTATATGCTTTTCCTCTTTTTCTATTTCTGTTTAACTGCATTACCGCCCTTTATAAATTGTTGATTTTATAATTCTGACCTTGACGCGCTAGTTAAATCTACGTCATGTCAATCTAGTCGTGAGTACCTATTTTATATATATTGATACTGTAATTATTTATAGAAAAACGTTCAATATTATTACTGCTGCCCAAAGCCGTTTTTTCTGCCCAGACCGTGCGTTTAGTCTAGATTCACAGGATCGCTGTTTACTGCTAGCTATCGTCGTTAGACTTAGCTTATTTGTCCTATCTTACGCGTCGTTTTCCTACAGTTAGCTGTGTATTGTTCACCGAGTCCTTAAGCGCAATTCAAATTTCGTCCAACGTTATATCTGTTATCGTTCCCGTAACAGTTATTTCGCGGTCCACTAACGTTTATGATGTTGCAGTGATGGGAAAACTTTGGTAATAAACCACTGCATATTTGACCATAATTGAATGCGCGTAATTTAAGAGATTTTTTTAGTAGTATAGCTGTTTGAGTCACCACGATTCTGTGTTTTAGCCTCGGGCTAGTGATATGGACTCCAACTCGAGTGTACCATGAGACACAAATAATGAAACCAAATGAGTAAAGGTCCACTCGTTGGCTTTTTGGGTCCAGCTCACTTTGAGCTATATAGTGAAGTGTGAGTATATGTACGATTGTATGATTGTATGGAAGTGGTTTGAACTATACTCTGAATTGTATAGTGCTACCGTGCAAACACTTCGACAGTTCAGCACATTCCAAACAGTTTGCCTTTATACACTAACTAATTCCTTCACCCACAACTTATTTGATCTGTTTGTTTGGCAATAAAACTGGCAAAAATCGTGATTGGTGTTTCACTGATGTCTGACAATGAGGTTATATCTTAATCCACGTCTAGAGATTCTTGTCTTTGGTTTGCGGTATCGACCATCGCCCCGAAGGCAGATATATGTGCGGTGATCCTGGCCTACGAGATGACGCATACCACGGAGCGACACGTTACAGTTTTCGGACAACTGTGATCAGTGGCGCTTCCCGGGTGCCGTTAGCAAAGCGCATACGTGTCACAGCGTCTAGACTACAAACCATAGGTCGACTGTACCAACCAATCAGAAATCGTGCAGAGCGATGCCAAAAATACTGGAACGCGATTGATAGACGCTCGGATGGCCAATGAATTTGTTTTACACATATTATTTAATCCCCCTGACTTATTTTAAAAGATGAACTGTTATTCTTGTAGCCTTCTCCTCGCGCATGGGTTCCATGGGCTACTGCGTGCAACTACTAGTGTGATCCAATGCTTACACCTTGTCCCTGATTGCCGATCCGTGATCCGTCTTTCGTGATCAGCATATACTACAACTATTACACGATCTCATCATAAAAACAAATCAAATCCTCCATTACCATCGTACAACAAATAATCAGATTGTAACAGTTTCCAACCAAGTCATATCCATGGAGGCTGGTGCTAAGATGAGCGAGGACCGATACTCGCAACAATCTCGCATAAATTACTTGTTCCATATCGTGTATATTTGAAATGAGAAGCGGTCTGATCAGCTGCCCGGTGACCGAGTGGCCGAGTGGGTAGCATGGCTGTGTTTTACCAGTGAGGTCCCGTATTCAATCCCCAGTTGGGTCGATGGATTCGCGCACTGCTGATGAGGCCCAAACAGGTCGAAACAGCTGTCCAGTGCTTCCCAACATTTCAGCTCACTCCTCGTTTAAACGATAAATTCATCATATAAAAGATATATAGATATATATATTCGGAAATTCTCATGAAAGGCCTGAAATTCAACCACTCCAATAACAAACCGACCGACTTCATCGACTCTGTGGAGAACGGACTAAGAAACTGCTCGTTGCCCGAAGACAAAAAAGAGAAGAAATTAGGATCAAAGTATGTCAACATATCAACCAACAGAAACAGTCGCAGTTGATCCCTGATGCCAAACTGAAAGCATAGAAATCGCTGAAAAATGACTCCAATATTCTTCCGGCAGACAAAGGCAATGCAATCGCACTGTTGGACAAAACAGAATATACAAAAAAGATAAAACAACTCATCGAAGAAACTTATTAACCGGTCAACGGGAATCCCTTAAAGCAGCTGAGGAATCAACTAACTAATTCCTTTTCCAATCTCAAGAAAAACAAGAAACTAACGGATCGCGAACACAGATGAATCAAACCCACAGAACGTCCGATACCACGGTTCTATGGAATATCGAAAGTGCACAAACCCCATGCACCACTACAACCCATTGTCGCATCCACAACAGCACCTAACTACAATCTTGCAACGTACCTCTTCCAACTACTACACCCATCAATACCTGCAAAACAAAATGATGCAAAAAGTCCCACGATTTTCCGCAAACGCATCAACGGACTGACCATTGAATCAGATGAAGTGATGATCTCTTTCGATGTGACCTCACTGTTCACCAATACACCGAAGCAAATGGCCGTCGAAAGTATCCGACACTTGTTGCAAAACAACCAAAATTTGCAATTAAGAACGAAACTTTCCGTGGACGAAATGGTGAAACTCGTAGAACTCTGTATGGAAACCTATTTCCAATTCGACAAGAAGGTATACCAGCAGAGGCGAGGAACTCTAATGGGTTCGCCACTCCCAGGGCTGCTGCGGATGCGGTTATGAAACACTTCGAAGCCAAAGCCTTTGAAATTCTACAACCTCGTCTGCGGATACGTTATGTGGACGATATATTCGTCATACTCAGAGCCTCCACAGCAGATCAGTTCCACCAAATGATCAACGAGCAAGTGCCCGGTATCAACTTCACACGAGAGGAAGAAAAAGATGGACAACTCCC